CTCCTCCCCACGCCTGCAGCGGTGCCTGGGGTTGTTGTGCCCCAAGTGCAGGACCCGGCCCTGAGCCTTGTTGACCCTCACCCGGTGGCCTGGGCCCATGGCTCCAGCCTGGCCAGGTCCCTCTGCAGAGCCTCCCTGCCCTCCAGCAGATCAACGCTCCTGCCCAGCTGGGTGTCACCTGCAAACTGACTGAGGGTGCCCCCGATCCCCTCGTCCAGATCATTGATAAAGATATTAAACAGGACCGGCCCCAACACTGAGCCCTGGGGAACAGCACTGGTGACCGGCCGCCAGCTGGATTTAACTCCATTCACCACCACTCTTTGGGCCCCGCCATCCAGCCAGTTTTTTGCCCAGCAAAGAGTATGGCCATCCAAGCCATGAGCAGCCAGTTTCTCCAGCAGAATGCTGGAGAAAATGGTGTCAAAGGCTTTACTAAAGTGCAGGTAGACAACATCCACAGCCTTTCCCTCCTCCACTAAGCGGGTCACCTTGTCATTGAAGATCAGGTTGGTCAAGCAGGACCTGCCTTTCATGAACCCATGCTGACTGGGCCCGATCCCCTGGTTGTCCCGTATGTGCCGCATGATGGCACTCAGGATGATCTGCTCCATAACCTTCCCCGGCACCGAGGTCAGGCTGACAGGCCTGTAGTTCCCCGGATCCTCCTTCTGGCCCTCCTTGTAGATAGGCATCACATTTGCAAACCTCCAGTCGACTGGGCCCTCCCCGGTGAGCCAGGACTGCGGATAAAGGATTGAAAGTGTCTTGGTGAGCACCTCCGCCAGCTCCCTTAGTGCCCTTGGGTGGATCCCATCCGGCCCCATAGACCTGTGTGTGACTAAGTGAATGGCAATAAAGGGTTTGGTTTGGTTTGGTTTTTTTCGGTCTTGTGTTTAGCCATTAGTGTGACCATCCTGGAGAGGAGGCAAATGTGATCCTCTGTACCAGAGCAAGATGAGATCTTGTGTACAGTTCTGGTCACCCATGTTTGACAGATAAATTCAAGTTGGAACATATGGATTGGACACAGCGGCAATTTGTTATCCCTGAGTTTGACAGGGAGGTGAAGGAAGGGAAGAAAACTAGAGAGGTTAAATGATGATACAACAAATACACATAAACTGGGCTCGATATGAGTAGAAAGTTCCTACTATTGGACAATAGGGTGATGAAGACTTTTTTTTTTAGTGGAGGTAAAAACACATGGAACTTGTTAAGCTGCTGAAGATTTTATAACATGGTAGCTATAATAAGACTCTGGACAAGGTAACTCAGGCCTTTGAGCTGTAAGCAGTTTTGTTGCTTGCAATGTTCATTTTAGTAGTGAGACTTACAGACGTCTTCAGTGTGTTTATCCTCTGTTCTGCTTTTTACAGGTGGAGTATAGAGAGATGGATGAGAGTCTTGCAAACCTGTCAGAAGATGAGTATTACTCGGAAGAAGAGAGAAATGCTAAAGCTGAGAAAGAGAAAAAACTACCACCACCACCTCCACCAGCTCCTGCAGAAGAAGAGAATGAAAGTGAGCCAGAGGAGCCATCTGGTGAGTAAAGAGAGACCTTCTCCTCTGACACTACTTACCTGTTTTATTGCCAGAAATTAAGCGGGGTCAGGTGCAGCATCATGAATCCTGTGTCTGGTTTTGAATGATTGTTCTACAGTGTTTTGTTTGCTGGCCCCATATGTGGAAGGAGGGGAAAAAACACAGAAGAGCAGCCTGATAAAGATGAGAATATGCATGAACTAATTCCAAACTAAGCCAAACCTCTCATACTGTAGATTCTCATGATCCTTTTTGACTTGTCTGTGGAAGCTCATTGACCAGAATAGCCTCTTTGGCTTAGCCTCTTTTGACTTAGCTGCCACACCTGCTCGTGTACCAACATTCACTTATTCCTCTGAGAGAAAAGAGGTTAGATTTACTGGGGGGGTTGCTATGCAGGAGAACAGATTTAATCTACAATGATTTCTGTGGCTTTAAACTATGACTCTCATCTTAAGTTCTGGTTGGATACTGTTTGCTTAAACTTCAGTGCTTTCCTCATTACCTTTGACAGAGTTGTAAAGCTTCACTTTACATTGCAAAGTTTTTCGGTCAGTCTTGTTCAGGAAGCAGCTTTTGAAATTTACGGTATTAGCAGTGCCCTATTTATTCTTTACCTCTGTTGTGTTTACAGCTACCACCATTAGTTAGGTCTGGTGTTGGTGTACTACTCTGTCTGCAAAATCATGCTTTTGCAAAGTTCATCTGCCAGAGAGATTTCATGATATGATGTGTGTGCTAGTTGGTTTTAGGCAATAGCTGAAATCTAGTAGTTGAACTTTTGCTGGTTCATCACTGATGTGAATAACTGTTAGTCTTCAGTTCTACTGCTCTTAATTGGCTTCTTTTTGGCTGGCAGATTTGAGAATGTAGACAATAGGACAGATGTGAGTTTGGGGATACTTACCTTCAGTTTCAGAAAATATATTAAAAGCCACAGTTGTGTTTTATGTCTTAGGATTTGCCCCTGTAATCTCTCCTCAGTTGTGGCTGTTGGCTCCTGGCTTGATACAGAAATACTGTAGCTCATATGCTTGACTGAAATATTTGCAGTGATAAAAATCCTCCCCACCCCTAGCTGTAGCTGATCTGTCAAAAATGGAATTTTAATAGGTGTAATTAAGCAAGTATCTTAAGTTTACTATTTAATTTAGCTTAGACTTCAGATTAATCCTTGAGACCCAATATAAATACACTTTTGATATTTCTCAGGTGCCATTTTGTGCCTCTAAGAATGATTGTTGAAATCAGTTTGAGGTATAATCAGTGAAGTACAGTGTTTTATCCCATGAAGGAAGAAATGTGGAAGATAGGCAGTGATAGACTCATGCTATTCCATACACACAACAGTCTGTTAAGCAGTTATTCTGCAAGCACTATATTTAGTCATCTAAATACAACGGATTCTAAAACAGGCTATGTCTAGCTGCCTAGAAATAAGTAGATTTCAGGTCATCATATCTTTTCTCCATTCCTAGAAATCCTGTGATATGCATGAAGCAGTTATGTAAGAAGACGACAAATTCTCAGTTGTCATTCCATAGCTAATCTTGCTGTATTTTTAAAGGCTTCTGAAACTATATACATTGGTGGATCTCTCTATCTTTGTCTTTACTAATGCAGGCATCAAGAGCATCAGGTCATCTTATGCTGGCTGTTAAAGTGCATTGAAACTTCTAATTCAAACAACTGTTAGCAGGAAGAGGCGTGGAGTCTGCTGTATATAGAAGTGATGTTTATGATTGAGGTTTCTTTCTCTGTCATTTCTTTGAAGCGAAAATATAAGTGTTCAATAAGAAATATTAAATAGGACAGTAATACTAGAGCAGGATTGCATATTGAAAATTTAACAAAATACAAAAAGTTAGCTTTTGCATTACTGTTAATTTATTCTCATTGCAGACCTTAATAATTTCCTTTGTATGTTTAAAGCCTGCAAAAACATAGGTAATGCAGTGGAGGTGTAAAGCCGTCATGTTATAGGTTATGACCTTTTGTGTTGAAAAGCCTAATTGTGCAAACTTAAAAATATAATAGTGACAGTAGCTGGTATTTCATTAGTCTGTCCTCACAGACAGTTTACAGTAGAAGGAGGTTATTAAGTATCACGCTTTAGGTGACAGTGAAATGCTGGTCTTATTTGGGGTGGGTTCTATTAATGTGTTCAGTTGTGGGGAATTCCAGATGTTTTGGCTATGCAGATTGTTATAGTCTGGATTTAAAAGATTTACTGCAGGTTATTGCAGAGCGTTTTTAAAAGGCATAACAGTATTTCATGGTTAAGATAATTTCCTTAAAGCATCTCTCCTCGATTTTACTTGAGAAATATTGTCTGATAGCAGAAAGCTTCCAAACTCACTTTCAGTGCTAAATGACATTTGTGTTCTTGTTTGCCAATATCCATTTTGAAATTAAGGAGCTTGCTGCTTTTGTTTTTCTTCTCTAAGGATCTTTTTTGTTTGCCCTCACAAAATTGGATTTTCATTTTTATAGCTTCCTGAAGATTTTCTTAACCAGCTCCTGTCTTTTTAGTTTTGTCAGTATTCTTACTTTGTGGTAATCTTATGTTTCTAGCTGCTGTTTTCCAAGGAAGTGTGAGACTGAATATGATCCAGATTAACTTCAAGTGAATAGTCAAACCTAGTGGTGCTCTGTCTCTGTCTTTCATCTGACTTGTCTGTTTTCCTAATTAAATGCAGTGCTCAGTGGTAATCGCGTGCTGCTATTCTTTATTTGAAGACAGTGGATGATTGTATGAAGCAGACTCCTTTGTAGACCTTCTTCCTGATTGCCGTTCAGCTCATGGTCCGTTATTCTGTTGTCTTGAGCCTTTCAGCGGATTCTACTCCTGCACATGTTGTGTTTAGCTGCAATAACTTGATGTTAACGTGAATCAGCAGTTTGCTTGCTGCTTTGTTCCTTTGCAGCTGGAACATGACTTTCTTACGGGGAAGGAGACGCAGTCTGCACTAGCAGGCCTTGTTCCCACACTTGTGTACTCCGACTAGGGAGCGTTTAGAATTGTGTCTGAGCAAGCAGTAATAGTGATGCTTTTTTTTGACCTAACATTGAAAATGGTTTAGCTGTTATTAACAGAAGAGGAGAATATTGGTGTCTTTTTGTAAGTAAACCGAGGGCAATTTTGTCCCCTCTACTCATTGTCAGTGCTAATTCAGAGATAATGAATGCCACAGGCTGATGTCAGCATCTTTTCGATTTCTTAACTTATGGAAGGCACAAGTGTAACTTTTCCTGCAAATTAATGGCCTATGCTGGAGTGTAAATATTAATGTTGAGTTGTGTTAGTCTCTCCCAGAATGGAAGCAGGTCTTATAATGTTCCCAGCAAAATAAAGTACTTGCAGTGTAGGTGAAGTGAGGAATTTTCTCTTGCTATTGCAGATACATTAGTTCATAGAATCCTGACTTTGGGACTTCTGAGGCCTGTCAAAATACAATTATTTGTCACGGTCTCTCTTGTGAGTTTTTGAACTTCCCTGCTGGTAGACTGATCGTATAAAAGTACTGACTGTTGCTCCTCTACTGTAGCTGAGTGCAAATGTCTTTCTTGTTTCAGTTCCTATTTTATTTATCTGCAGATGTGTAATGTTACAGCATTCCAGATGTTAATCCAAGTTATTGAAGTATGAAAACATTTGGTTCACTTTCTGTGTCTTGCTTTAGGGGCTAAATTTGTAGTTCAGATGAAATTCTTTTAAGTTAGTGTATCCACTAAGAGCTTCAAATTACATTCTGGGAAAATTGTCCACCCAATCCCAAACTCTAAAGAGTAATCCTAACAATTGTGTGTTCAGCCTCAGGTTAGACCTTACTCTTGCCTGTTTGGAGATGACACCTTGAGCAGTTGTGCTCTAGGAAGCGACCGTTCCATTTGCTACCTTGATCTCAGCAGTTTGTTTCAGTGAGGGTTTGTTTGGACTTGAGAAAACACCCAATTTGCTGACTATTAAAGCACTTGGTTTGAAGGAGCCTTGGTACAGGAGCAGCCAGCCGAACAGTGCTCGGCCGTCTCCGTAGTGGTCCATGGCTTCCCGCTCTCTGGAGGTGACAAGACTTTAGGCAAACATCTGAGTATGGAAGAATATTGCTTACGAGCTGAACTTGGAGCTAGCGTCTCCCGTGAAGAAGGGCAGCGTGTGAGGTGGCCTGTATTAGCTTTGTTCCTGCAGGCGTTGCAGCTGCACTCATCTCTGTTCCAGAAATGCTCTGTTCCTGGTTGTGTTGTAGTCCTGTCAAGGCTGCTCTTTAGGACTTACATGCAGGCTGAGGTGATTTTGAGACTTATTCAGATCTTTCAGATGAGTGCTTTGCCTTTCCTTGTGTTTCCAGCCCTGGATATGTTGAAAGACCGATGTCTTTCAGTGCTGGGTATTGATCGCATTACTGATCAATGGTATTGACATGTACTTGGCTTCAAAGGCGGTCTTAGTGTGTTAGAACATTGTTGGTGTATCAAGGGCGCTGAAGCCAAAATAAGTGGTCTGAGCCTTTCAAAAAAAGTTCCGTCATCAAGCTTCAAGGAAGGGTTTATGGCAAAAAAAAAGAACAGGCTCTCTTGAAAGTAAGAGGCTTTTCAGAATGGTTCAAACTATCGCCTTGCGTATGGGGAGACTCGGGAGTACCAAGGGCAAGATTATCAAATTCTTGTGGTTTGAGATCCGTAGAATCTGATGGTATCCATCCACCAGATCTTGGCAGTAAGAAATGTAATCTTATTATTCAAATCCTAGCCATTAATGACGTTGACCATAAGTATTTAGCCACCAGGAATGCTACATATTGTGTACTTCTTTATTTCCCATAAAGTCTGATGTAAAGCGTTCCAGTAACACGGATAACACTTTAGAAGACCGCAGGGTTTGGTGCCCTGAACCTAGGTTCCAGAGGATGGGATTCTCAGAAAATGGGTTTAGTTAGTTGGTGACATTTAATACCTAAAACGCCAACTGCCGGGCCTTTATGTCCAGTATGGTTTAACTTATGGAGTAAGGTCCCTGAGTTCTCCTCTTTCCTTCCACAGGGCAAGCAGGAGGACTTCAAGACGACAATTCTGGAGGGTATGGAGACGGCCAAGCATCAGGTGAGGGTGGCGTTTGATGCTTGCCACTTAGTAGCAAGAGCCGCCAAGTTAGGGATTGATGCTTGCAAGTGCGCATGGGTGTGGTTGTCCAGAACTTAGCAAGAGATACAGGAGTTGTTTACCCACCTGTTAAAAAAGCGAGGGGTATTTTCAAATTTCAGTTGAGGTCTGTACCGACTGCGGAAAAGGACGCTAAGCTATGTTGAAATGCCTCAGGCCGATCTCTCATCCCTCCACTCCTCTCCATGTTTAGAGGAGTCCAAATGTGCAAAAAGATACTTCTTACCTAGCCAGTTTCTATGACACAGAAAGCCCTGGGCTTCAGCACAGTAGACCTTTTTTCTAATTTGCTGAAGAAACATAGCGTGGAGTACCTTTTTGCTCCTTTGTTTTTGTTTTTTCTTTTGAAAGGGTTTGTGTTTGAGCTGTGTGCCAGTGGTTAGCCCAGGAGATTTATCTGTTGGGGAGATTCATAGTCTGCTTCTCAATGGACTGGATTGTGAATTGCATTCGCCATTTGACCTAAGTACTGATGCTAGCAGTATGCACTTATTGCTTAATTCACAGAATTGGTGTCTTTACTCTTAAGTCCTTAGAGTGCTACTGAAAATCTTTCTCCAACTCTGCCACTTTCGCTCTCACTTGAGGATTGAGGATTAGGGTTTTAAGCAAAGGAGTCGAAGGCTCCAGAATCTATTCTGTACCTCTAAGTTGCTCTTTTTGAAGCAGATATAACTTCAAGATATTCATCTGAGAGTGCTTCCTTGCTGTTCTAAGTAAAGGAGCCTAGTTATGTTTTGGATCTTACCACTTGCACAGAGTTTCTGACTATTAAAGATTGTGGGCTTAAGGATGCATTGCCTATTTGATTTTTAGGCAGGCATTGTCTGTTTGGAAATTCTGCATATTTTGCATTTTATATATATGCTGAGGTTATGCTTTAGCAATTGTCTGATTCAGCAGCCAAATAACTTTCCTTCACCTGCAGATGTTTCAGTAAGTCTTTAAATGAGCAGCATCCCTCAAGATTTCTTCTGTGGGGAAGAAGATAATCAAAACTTCAGCACATTAGTTGCTGATGCTGAATGTCAGGAAGTGGCAAGTGTGTGTGCGAACCTGTGTGAGGAGGAGATGAGAATCCAGTCGAGGCAGAGCCATTCCTACAGTCGTTAAAGAGTTGCCTGCCCCAGGGAAGTGTGTGCGGTTCTGAATGGTACTCCCTTTAATGTGTTGCTTTGATGAAACATAAGCAGTAAGGGTGTGGGACGGGGGGGATTTAATCAGCCTGAAATTGATTTAACTTTGAGCTGTGTAGTTGCAAAAGTAAATTCGAGGACATTTAGTTCATATAAGATCTGCCAGTGGTTCGGCCAAACAAAATGGTATCTTCACTAATAATAGCTAGACTTATTCTAAATTCTGGTGTCAAACCCTGTTGTGGTTGGTTTATTTTTCTAAATACCAGTGCTCACCTGGAGCTATTCTGATATTTTAGTTTTAAAGTTCAGGTATTGCCATAAAAGACATGTGGCCTTAAAAAAAGCAACAACAAACCACCCCCGTACTGGAGTTCTTTCCAAGGCTGTTAGGAGCACCAGTTTCTCTGGCTTCTCAATTTGAAGAAATAAATGGCAAAGATTTTTAAGAAACTGGTGAGTTGCCTTAAATCCACGTGTCTGAGAGTTTTCTGGTAGTTGATCACTGCATGACAGTCAACGCTTTTTAGCAAATATCTGGAGAAGGCACACTCCTTTTAGCATAAGGCTGTAAGAGGGAGTCAGGTTCAGCATTTCAAATCTTTGTTTAACTGGCCATTCTCTGAAAATTGTACTGCTGAGCTTTTTGTTAACACTTGATGATCCAGAACCTTAATTAAGATTTGTTAACATTAATAAAGTATCAGAGAATTGGTAACTTTGGTTTGATTTACATGCAGTTTTACGGAGTTCATAGTTTAGCATATGCATTCATATGTAGGTGTTTGCACAGTTGGTCCAGCGTTAGACTGAAGGACAACAAAAGGGCTGGGGGATGTTTATTACTGGAGAAGCTGAGGTTCTAGCAGAGCTATGGGTTTCTGTTCCATAGCTGACTGAGTGTCAAGAAATGTTGCGAGTGTGTCAGCTTTTAACTTCATTTTACCTTCTTGCAGTGCGCTGTAGCCTCTGTTACTCATTTCTTCTTGTTGTAAAATTCCTGTAAATGATGATACAGTTTTCTTTACTTTGAATCATCATACAGTTAGATCTTCTAATCTTTGCTTATGAATGAATTTTGCTAGCTTCACGACCGTTTCCTTGCTTAAATTTTTTTCTTCACCTTTGGGATATAAAAATGCTTGGCAGTTAAAGGTGTGTGTGGTTGCACCAGAACTGAAAGAAGAGAATTCCTCTCCCCAATACGGTGACGTGTGTACGTCTGCACATGAACTTCAAACTTCTCAACAGTTGTCTTGGTTAGTGTAACACACTGCAAGCTTATATTTTCTTTGATATTTATTATAATCTTTTGAGCAAGTCCAGTTTCAGCAAATGATCTCAATCTTACTGCATTACTTGTGAGTTTTTTCCCCTTGGGATGTACTGGCTTATGTATTTCCAGAACAAATGTCCTCCTCTGTCTGGCCTGATCTCAAGTTACTTCCTAGGACATAAGAGATTTATGTTGTTCTTGCTGTATTTCACATATCAGTATTTCATTTTGCTCGCTGTGCCTGCAAGATTCACTTTCTGCACTCTACGTGTGTTGTAGCCCTTACGCAGCTGTGTCTTAGTTTGTAACTTTATTATATATAGTATAACATTCAAATGAGATTGAGGAATGTAGGGTACGTAACTGTTACTTCCTTGCCAGTTTTTGAATTGATAGAAGTACAGGTGCCTTTATGAATGACGTCTTTCCATAGAGAAAATGTCTCCTGTATATGTTCAACATTAGCCTTTCACATGTGGAGCATTTAAAAGGAGAAGTCAGGAATTTGTAGTTGTTGACTATAGGCAGCACTTGGGGAGGGGACACAGGAAAAGCGTAAGTAGGATTGTATTTCATTGCACTGCCTGTTGCGAATGCATAAAATACACAAAGGAGAGGTTAAGATGGTTTCCTCCAGCTTGAGGAGTTCAGTGCAAATGAAGCCTTGGGAAGCAGGGAGAGGAGACTGTAGGCATTGTGCCTGTATCTTACAGATCTTCTGGCTCTGAACGGGTTCCAAAATGTTTTTCATATTATGGTAGAAACTGGAAACCACACAGATGAAGGACAGCATCTAAAGCAGTTATGTTTCATTGATATTATACTATATATATACACATTTATATATAATATATTTTATATATATTATATATATTATATTATATATATTATATTGATATGTGCCCCTGCCACCCTTATTTTTCAGGGTTTTTTTGTTTGTTTGTTTGGGTTATTGGTTTTTGGTTTTGTTCTTTTTTTTTTTTCCCCCTGTAGTATAGCTTTTTCATTAACCCTAGATGATACCTGTAATTAGAAGAACTGTTGACTTGGGAACCTGCATGTCTTGCAGAAATAAATAAAAGGACTAAATGAAAGCATGACATGAAATTGGCCACCGTATCAAGGCTAGATGCACTGGCTAGGAAGGGTAGTGTAAAAATACTTACTTAGCAGTTCCTTTTGCAGTGCCTGTAGACAACTTGTCTTTTTATTGTAGGTGTGGAGGGTGCAGCTTTCCAGAGTAGACTTCCACATGACCGTATGACATCTCAAGAAGCTGCCTGCTTCCCTGATATAATCAGTGGGCCACAGCAGACTCAGAAGGTGTTTCTGTACATCAGGAACCGCACCGTAAGTTTATTGTAAAAGTATTGTTGAAAAAAAGGGTAGGACATTTGTGTACCTTGCAAAGACTTCGTAGCAGTTACCGTGTCTAACAGTTGGTAGATTTTTTTTTTTGTTTTGAGATGGTGGGGGTTCATTTCTGGCATCCGATCATGCTCTAAGTTGCTACGGAAGGTGTTATCCAGTTCTTGATTGAGGCAACCTGTGAGGCAGCATAAAGAATCTGTAGTATATTTACAATATCGAAAACAATATCGAATAACAACCATCAAAACTACATGATTCAGCTAATACAGCTTTTAAAAAGTAAACAAACAGAAAGCTGGTGCAAATGTTCTATTACTTGATCTCAGCTTAAAGAAGTCTGTAGAATACTTGAACAATATTCAATCAAATACATTGTTGCTTAGAATAAGGAAAACCTCTCAGCTTTTATTTTTTTACTTTGCTTAGCATTCAGTTTCTGTAATACTGAGACATCAAGCCACTCATATGGCTTATTCTCAGAAGAGAATAGTTACTTTGGCAGCTTTGATTTAATAAAAAAAAATTGTAACATTGAAGAAATGAAACTCTGCTTCTGAATGTTTGTAGCATTTCTGCCCAATTCAAAACTTGCATACAACTTAAAATATAGAAAGAAGGGGCAATATTCAAATAATTCATTGGGGAGTTCATTCACTTGAGTTCAGGCAAGCATGCCTGAAGTTTAAACCTTAATAAAACTTAAACAGTAGTATTGTGTTTTGCAGATGATGCTTTTAAATTGTGACAGTACTTTTAGGTTCCTCAGCACACAAACAGGGTTCAGGGCTTTCTCCTGTCCTTAGAAAAGAGTGTTTTAGAAAACATAAGTCATGTTAGAAAGATTAACAGTAGGAAAGCAAGAAATATGTTGAAAATTCCTTTGTTACCCTAGTTAAGAGAGAAAACATCTTATGCACCATTCAGTTTTTTTCACAGACTTAAGATGATCAAGGGGCATCACAGTGTATTAACCATGGTAGCACCCAATGCTTAATAACTTTAAAGAAGTTATTTGAAATTCATGCACGGTGTACCTCTTCATGCTAAGAGGAATCTCCCTCTAATTAACCTAAGTTGTAGCTTTTGGGAAGTCATGAGATGCATAAAAACAGACCAACGCAAGCCAAAAAGTTTGAAAAACAGTTTGCTCAAAACATATAGTGAGTAATCCTTTTACAGACACATTAGAAGCAGAAGAGCCTTCCACTGAAATTAATAAATGACTGGGATTTAAAGGAATGCTTGGAAGGGGTACTTGCAGGGCTGCACTAGAAAAGCTGCATTTTTGGTCTTCAGTCCCTATTTGCTATGGAAGAATTTAGAGAAGTTCCTAGGCAGGAATCCCTTTTCCAGGAAGACTTGTGGGAGGATCTCCTCTGGTCAGGATAGCAGAGGCTTTAGAACAGCAGATGAAGCAAATGGCAATATAAACCCAGTGCTCCGCAGAGCTCTGGAAGAGTTGTGAATGGCAGTGTGCGTCCTCTTGCTTATGGCTGGCACAGTACCAAGGGATTTGAAAATATTGAAGAGGGCGTGAACACCCAGAGTTCCCAGAGGTTAGAGGAGTTAGACTAGCAAGTCTGATGTTTCCAGTTTGCCTGGTAACAAACGGAATCAAGAATGGAATGAATGACCTGGTAAGTAAAAACGTATTTTGGAAGGCTCACAGTAGCTTTTGTAATGGGAAGTCATCCTTTAAAATCCATCTGAGTTCTTTGAAGGACTCATGAGAAAGTGAACAAAGGAGATCCGCTTCATGTGATCTCCTACATGAATCCCCCCACCCCAAAACAAAACAAAAAAAAACCAATGAGGAGGAAAAAAAACCCAAACCAGTAAAAGCTCTTGCTAAATTACTCTTGGTTAAAGCAAATCATGAACGTTCACCAAGCAGAATGTAGGATAAAGGATCTGTTGTGGCAGTGCAGGGCAGTTGTGGTTTGAAGCCTTTAAAATCTGTGAAGGCCTGCACTGTTCTGTGTATTCATAGAGGGTCTAAAAATCAGAATTTGTAAAGAAATGGTCCTTTGCTGCACATACTAAGTTACTTTAGTAAAATGAGGACTACAAAAACTACAAAAGATGAAGACTCTTATGAGTATCTGGGTGATTACATAGCAGATGAAATTTATTTTAAATAGAAGTAAAATAATGTGAATAATGGAAGTAATTGTATATATACATACACAGAGATTTATGTATAAAACATAGATTATGGGCTTTGCACTCTTCCAGCTGAGAATGGAATCTTAGCATTACAGTACGTAGTACTACGAAATGGTTAGTTCCACGCTCCGAAATGATCAGAAAGAAGATAGTTAAAAATTACTTGGAAAACAAGTAGAAGAAAGTACCGTGCTAAAGATGAAATTTGCCTCAAAATGGTCTCCCAAATTATATGGAAATTCTTTCTTAATCTTTCCTATTCATTATACTTGTACGATTTCCACTTTAATTTGGTATCTGTGAGGAGCTGTAAAGTTCAGTAGTGCAATTGTAGAGAAATACCCAAAGAAATTACTAATTCTGGAATGTAAAATGGTGTGGAGATGCTATGTATGACCTAGATCTAGGCATTGAAACGTAAAATGTTATTTATTAACTGTTGCCAACCATGCCATGAAGAAGGAGTTCTGTTGGGAAAACAGTTGTGATTCTATTATTCTGTGCTTTTTTCCTAGCATGAAGTGACACAATATTTCACAGGCAGCTCCTCCTGCTTGGTTTTTGAAATGTAACTGTCCTCTAAATGTTCGTTCTTGTGTATACATGGCCAGTGTAGTCCATGGTAGCGTCTTACATCAGTGAAGATGGATTAGATGATTAAAGGTCTGAGATAAACGAACTTCATAAGATGACAATTACTTCTGTAGCTTTTACAAAAATAATGTGAAATCTGATGCTGAAGAGTCAGACGCTGGCTGATGTTGCATGCCCAATTAAAACATCACACATTACACTTGCCATGCAGGTGGAAGGAAGGCGTTATAAGCGTTCTGGAGCTTCCATTTTGTAGCTTTTGTTCTTTCAGTGTGTGTTTTCTTGTATGTGTGATTAGGGGATTGCTAACTTCATGCATTTCCACTTATTTGAAATGGTGTAGGAAGTTAAAATGGACTGTATCGCACCTTGAACACTGGAAGGTGAAGTTCAACGTGCCTTGGATAGCACTGCCAAAGTTTAACTCATTAGAGGGTTTCATCTCCTTTTTTGGTAACATCTCCTATTTGGTAACAAACATCTCCTTTTTTGGTAACATCTCCTATTTGGTAACAAACATGCCCATGGAAAACACCTCTTTTGTATTGCTTAATATAATGTGTCTTATTGTTTGTTTAAATACAGCTGCAGCTCTGGTTGGATAATCCAAAGATCCAGTTGACGTTTGAGGCAACTATCCAACAACTAGAAGCACCTTATAACAGTAAGTCAAGTCTTTTACTGCCAAAACCATGCTGTAGGTATCATTGCTCTTCTTTTTCAGTTTTGGTTGGGGAAAAGCTGTTCAGAATCAAGAGAGGACTTCAGATGGGTCCTTTGGTTAGTGGAGCCCCATGAACGTTCATGTACAGAATGGGATATTGCAGTATGCTCACGTTTCAGGTTTGTTGGAGTTCATTTGTCTGGTAGAGAAATATATCCCTAGCAGAATTCAAAAAAGCTGGTAAAAAGATGGGTTGTTACAGAAGTTTCCTGCGAGTGAATTCACATGCAGCTTTCAAGGTTTGCTACAACTTCATGGTGGTTTGCAGCTGTGAGATTTCCTTAATCGTAAGGTTTCTGGGAGGCATTAAAAAGTTGCATCAGACTTGAACAGACTGGCCGTGATGAAGGAAGGCAGTAAAAGAGCAAGGAGTTACTGCTCACAAATGTGGGCCATTCCACCCTTCTCTAAAAAGATCTCAATAAACTGGAAAAAGATGGAGGGGAGCCATAAAGAAAAAGTAATTAAAGAAGAAAATAATGCTGAAATGCACACACATAACACTGTCAAGTATTGCAAAATAGTGAATTATTGCGTTTATAAAAATAAAAATGAGAATTCAGTGCTACAGTAATGGGTTGATTTAATACTGGCAAATCACATTACAGTTCTGGGTAAAGATCTCGGGATTTCTGCAGTCAGTTTCAGAAGAGGTGCTCTGCCCCACTGGATAAGTAGAAGCCTGTGCTGGGGTGGCCCTGGCTGGATGGCAGGTGCCCACCGAAGCCGTTTCATCGCTCCCCTCCTCAGCTGGACAAGGGAGAGGAAATACAACGAAAGGCTCGTGGGTGGAGATAAGGACAGGGAGAGATCATTCACCAATTACTGTCGTGGGTGAAACAGACTCGACCTGGGGAAATTAGTTTAATTTATTGCCAATCAAATCAGAGTAGGGTAATGAGAAATAAAGCCTACATCTTGAAACACCTTGCCCCCACCCCTCCCTTCTTCTCAGGCTTAACTTCACTCCCTATTTTCTCTCCCTCCTCCCTGCCAGTGGCACAGGGGGACAGGGAATGGGGGTTGTGGTCAGTTCATCACACTCTGTCTCTGCTGCTCCTTCTTCCTCATGGGGAGGGCTCCTCACACTCCTCCCCTGCTCCAGTGTGGGGTCCCTCCCACGGGAGACAGTCCTGCATAAACGATTCCTAGGTGAGTCCTTCCCACAGGCTGCAGTTCTTCACAAACTGCTCCAGCGTGGGTCCCTCCCATGGGGTGCAGCCCTTCAGGAGCAGACTGCTCCAGCGCGGGTCCCCCGCGGGGTCACCAGTCCTGCCAGCAGACCTGCTCCAGCCTGGGTTCCTCTCTCCATGGGTCCTGCCAGGGGCCTGCTCCAGCACAGGCTTCCCACAGGGTCACAGCCTCCTTTAGGCATCCACCTGCTCTGGCATGGGGTCGTTCACGGACCCTGTCCTGTACAGCTTTTCAGGCAGTATTCAAAACTGCAGTATAGCATGGAAAACAGCTTGTGGTTTCCAGAAAACTTTAACCTCGGTATTCTTCAAGAAGATGGATTCTTCGGTAGAGCAGCTGGGCGTACAGAAAGGCATGTGTTCGGTGTGACTTTGTTGGGTTGCTGCTGTGACACATTTGCTTGTGAATATGTTTTCAGTACGTATGTGCTGCCTGACATACAGAATAATTTTAAAACATTACAATTTTTTAGGTGACACGGTGCTTGTTCACAGAGTACACAGCTATCTGGAGCGGCATGGCCTAATCAACTTCGGTATCTACAAAAGAGTGAAGCCCCTTCCAAGTAAGAAACTTGAAAATTGTTTCTAATTGGAGTTTTGTTTTATTGTTCTGTGGTTTGTTAGGGCAGAGTTTTGAGTGCTTTTGTTAGGATTGTGGTGCTGAGAAAATAAAAAAAGGCTGGAAAGCCATCTGGCTATATATGTTCATGTTTTTTATGTTGGTATGGAGAAGCCATGTACTGCTGTATTTTTCTTTTATCTGTCTCATGAAGAAAAATTGTAAAGTATTGTACCATATTATGTACATAATTACTTCAATTTTCTTTTTGTGGCTATTTGTTTTCTTAAAGAGTTTGTTCTGTCAGAACTACCGATGAGAAGGAAGCTGCTTTTTGTTCTTGGTATCTCTTAAATGCCACTTTAACATGACCGCTTATAATGTAGTAATGCACAGAGAGAGCCTGTAGCTTATTCTTCCCTTTCTTCAGCCAAGAAGACTGGAAAGGTGATCATTATCGGTTCTGGCGTCTCTGGGTTGGCAGCAGCTCGCCAGTTGCAGAGTTTTGGAATGGATGTCACAGTTCTGGAAGCCAGGGTATGAATTTCTGTGTTATTTTACTTCTATACGGAAACTTAACCAGTACCCACATTTGGTGCCAGCGTAAGGCTGAGCATCCCAGCAGCGTGCCCAAGATGGGTGAGCTTGTGTGTAGTTACCGGCAGCTGGGATGTATTGCTGAGAGCTAAAGCTGTCTCACTGGGAAACACGTGTATCTGTTCTCACTGAGTTGGCTAATGCTTTCTCAGGGGTGGCCTGGATAGTCGGGTGCTGGTGTCATACGCTTACACCAGTAACAGGCTGGAATCTTCTTCCTTTCATGATTAGGAACTGATTTTTCACTGGACAGCAGAATGCAAATCTGTATTTCAAGAACTTGCCCATTAAATAGAATCATTGTTTGGAATTGCCACACAACGTCAGGCAGGATATTTGTCTTGCACCTTTTAAGTCTACATTAATTCTTTCCTTGTTTATTACTGTGTGCTTAACAGAGGATTTATAGTTATATAGAGACGTTCTGTGGTGCATGAACTAGCCGATTGTTCTTCCAGTCATAAGGTATTCTTTTGTATCCAGCCCTAAGTGGAATCTCCTTTTTTTTTTAAAAAAAAAATTCAAGTTTTTTTCATATACTATAATGGAGAACAGCTTGATATTCATTTAAAGTAAGTAAATCCATTGACTGATTAAATTGGAATTTATCTTATGTTTTACTTCCTGACTTCATTTTGTTTGTATATTTACTTCTGACACTTTTCTAGCACTGACTAAAATAATCTGCTTAATTTTTTTATTAATGTTTCAGGCTCTTAATTTTGCTAGCTGCTGCTCTTGTTGATAGGGAGCAAGAGCTGCCGGCTCTGTGCTCGCAGGTTGCGTACCGCTAGAGCAAAGGAGAGCCCGACAACCCAATTGTTCAGGAGTCTCTTGCCCCCCTGAATGTATTGTGGGTTTGGTTTCTTCGTTTGTTTTGTTTTGTGAAGCTGGAGGAAAGAGATCCGTGCTGTAACCTGGGTTTTGCTCTATGGATCTTTGTTACAACCATTATGTAGATCTGGAAGAGGCTATTTTAAAATAATGCACAATATTTTTCAGTCATTTTTGGCTAGACTGCTGCATCTCTTCTTGAGTAGTCTGTATTTTTTATTTTTATTTTATAAGGCTGTCTGGTGTTTCCTCTCATTATGATTTCAGTGATTCAGGTGGTAGTTTCTTTGTGTCCACTCCTTTAACTTTTAGACTATTAGTTTAGATGCTTCCGAATTGGTGATTTAATTACTGAAAATGAAACTTTACATTTTTTAATGAATTGGTAGCTGTTTAGGATCTTTGCCCAATTGTAACTGATATTTCTCTCTGATATCATCCTGCTAGCTGGACTGAGAATAGAGAAAGGTGGCTTTTTTTTTCCTTATTAAGTTTAAAGGGGTAGGAAAATAAGTGTCATCCGTCAGTCAGTAGTATGTGTCAAGAATCAAAACCTTTTCTTCCTGCTTCTAAAGTGGGCTGTTGATTTGTGCTTATCTTCTTGACTGATAGCTGGCTCGTCTGTGGAGAATGGGTAGGAATAATTAGCTGATGTTTTTTCTAACCCTAAAATTTAGTTTTCTCAAGCACAGCTGAATGATTTCCTATATAGCTATTGGATTTTGTGGTAGGAAGTGGGAGGAGGAAATCGAGTATGTAATTTAATCTATCCATGGACAATGAAGGATTGGTTTTAGAATGACAGTAGATCCTACTGTAGATATAATTAAATCTGTCCAAACCTGGTTAGGTATCTTTTTTCTTTTTCTTCCCTTTTTTTTTCTATTTTTTTTTTTAAATGCAGCTTAAACATTCCTTAACCTAGGCAAATTAATTGAGATCAAGTGTTCATTTGCAGAGGTTCTTGGAAAAGTGTACATTCTATTTATTGAACCTTTGGATACGAGAGTACTTATACCACCTTCTGTAGAAGTCTCAGTGATTATATTTAAGTGAGATGTATTGCTGAATGTTACTGAAGGTTTAATATATTGTGCTTTTAAAAGGACCGAGTAGGAGGAAGAGTTGCTACCTTTCGCAAAGGGAACTATGTTGCTGATCTAGGAGCAATGGTGGTAACAGGACTTGGTGAGTTTTTCAAAATAAAAAGGAGCAGGGAGGAAAACTGTGGGACAAGATGTTACAAATCTGAAACCTTATGCTATTTCCTTTCATGGCCAAAATAATTGGGTATTTTTAACTAGTAAAAAGTACATGTTCTAGTTCAGCCTCTTTGGCAGTTAGCATTTTTCAGCAGTGAATCTTCAGAACAGATGACAGCCCGCACTGGAAGCTGGGATTTTGGTTGGTGCCATAGCTCTCATTGCTCACTGCAGTCATACAGGTGCTTGTCATGCCCTCAAACTGCTGTAGATCCGTTCTTTTACACTGTGCTTGTGCTGAGTGGGATTCTTTGCCCTTTCCTTGGCATGCTGTCCTTTTTTGTGTCTGTTCCTTTGCCTAGTTCCTTTAAGGTGGCATCTGCACCGGGTTCACTGCACTTGCTAGCAAGTCTTTCTAAAGCTGCTTTACCCAGCTGCCGGTGGCCTCTGAGCTCAGGGCCCTGAACTGAGTTTCCTGGTAACTCTCTTAGTTGTCCCCTTGGATCTTCCAAAGCATAAGCTGAAATTGAACATGGAGAAGTAGGAATGTAGTGAGGGGATTAGTTGAGTAGTTATGAGCAAAGTAAATAAGAGCAAATAAATAGCAAACTTAAAATATGGGAGAGATCCCAAAGAGATGGAATACGTTTTTTCATTTACATGGGGAAAAAAGGGAGGAGGGGGAATGAAGAGCAGAGTCATTCTAAAGAGAAAGCCCTTCTTAAAGTCAGGATTTAAACCCCAAAAGTCCTTTCTCTAAGTGATTTCAAAAATAGTTGTAAAAATAATGGCAAACAAGCCACATTTCTTCCTATTTAATGCTGGTTTATGGGATGGCATCAGTTATTGATACTGGTTACTCTGCAAAGAAGATGGGAATATCCTTCACTAATGCAGTGAAATGATAAAATATTATAAAACCTGTATGAAAGCATAACTGAGTTTTGCTGACTGCCAAAACTTGCTGTCTATCTTATGGATAGTCTTTATTAAATTGCATATAGAAGTGTTTCCAGACAAAGAGTATTGAAGTTGCACAGTCCTGGTAAAACAGATTTAAGGTTGCCTAGTGAAAGACTAATATTTTTATATTTAATTTATCATGGGTGTTTCCTTTCCAAAATAATCTAAGCTTTGCCTTGAATAAGGCAGCATATGCTATGGAGAAAGAAAGATTCCTGTAGTGAAGGAGATGGTTTGAAGGGCATCCTTCATATTTCTGAATCTGGGAGAGATGTGAGGAGGGAAGGCTACTGAAGGGGTTGAGATTGTGGTTCAGGAAGGTTGAAGACAGACAGGGGATCTTTTCTGGTTTTGTTAGTAAAGAACTAGTTAGTTAGAAGAACTACAATTTTTAGTAGGTGGTTGAACTTGAAATATGAGCTTATTTAGACCTACTTCAAAACTCTGTTCTGCTTGTTCAGTCACCTCCCTAAAGACAGGAAGGTATTAGGGGGGCTGAACTTCCCCCTCTGTTTTGAACTAAGGCTCTAGGTTTGGTTGGATTGCAGAATCAGAGAGCGTTGGGAAGCTAGATCTGAAAAACTTTTCCCAAAGTTAATTTTGTGGAGGAAATCCATGTTGCCTCTCCTCTATGCCATTTCTTATTTGTGTCCATTCTTTTCCTTTCCTCTGCTGCACTTACAGAGAGGCTTTGGTGTTTGGTGATTCTGTGTGCTTAAAGTCGATGCTTTCTGCCTTCATCATGTTTCTACATGGAATCTCCTAGATTGTTTTCTGATCTGTTTAGTTACACGTCTTCCAGGTACAGTTGGTGTACATGGTTCATCTTCAGAGACTGTATTCACTGGGGTCACTTTTTGGAGTTCCACTAAGTTTTTAGGGACTGAACTCTTCGGGTTCCATCTCCATGTCACCACACTTTCAAAAGCTCCTGAAGTTACTGTGCAGCTGTTTTATAATCAGCCTTTTTTACATACTGTCCTTTAAGTGTTGATGGGCAGGTTGGTTTGGTTTTCCTTTTTTTTATGACCTTGTTGCAAGAATTGCTGTGAAGAGTAGACCTTCGGCAGTGTTATACTACTTCACTGGAATGCATTTTGCACTGGAGTTGGTGTGTTTAGTCTCTGAAATAGCTTTAACTGTGGAATTTTTATTTAGTTGAAGACAAACTTTGCAGGAGTACTCTATTAACTCTACAAAATGTTTTCCAGGAGGAAATCCCATGGCTGTGGTCAGCAAACAAGTGAATATGGAACTGGCTAAGATCAAACAAAAATGCCCACTTTATGAAGCGAATGGACAAGCTGTAAGTCTGATACTGTTTTCATGAACCTTTTAAAAAGAAATAGTATCTCAAGTGTATTTGCTACCAGGCTATCGGTCTAGCAGGAGATAGCTTCCAGGAAGAAGGAGTAATGAAAGCGTGTGTCCATTTTTGGGCAGTGTAGTAATATTCTAGCATATCTGCACCTATTCTTCTAAAACCTGTTCTTTCCACACGAGTTTTTAACTTCAAATTTCAGACGTTTTGTGGAAACTAAGTTCCTGTTTGCTCTTCCAAATTCATTACTGTTTTTCCTTAGACAGTTGTCTGTCTCACTCCTTTTTGAAACAATTGTCTGCTGTGCTGGCACTCTAGCTTTTGTTGTTGTTGCTGCTACTGCTCTTCCCCGAAATAAGCTCATTCTGGCTGTTCTACTTATCTGTTACTTTTTAAAGAATTGACTAACTAATGCCAGCTGGTTGAATGCATGCAACAGTTCAGCAGTAATATTCTAGAGCTGGGATTAGCTTTATTTCTTTCCGCTCTTGTGTCAAGGAGTGCTGTTAGAGGTAGAAATGGTAGATCCTAGTTTAGTGCTGAGTCTCAAGCATGTAGTGACTGGAAGTGTTCCTATCTCCTGAATCTTAAAACGTGGGACTAAGGGTAACTTCTGAAAGAAGACAGATGAGGACACTGGGCTTCTTGCTAGAGGCCTGAAAAAGTGATCTTTGGCACAAACCTGTTGTAACCTAGCACCTGCAGCTTTTCTTACTGCACACGAGTGAATAGGGTGTTATAATAAACTTGGGGAAAACTACCAAGGCTTTGTAGACACTTCTAGTGGTCAGTCCTCTCTCGTGTTGTGAAGCCAGTCCTGTATGTAACATGCTTGCCTCTGCACTGCTGTGTGCCCCCTCTCCCAGCTGTTTTCAGCATCTGCCCAAGTAATGCTTTTCTGTCTCGCAGTGGGGCCGATGTATCCCTGTGCACTTTGAAGAGACTCCCTCTGTTAACACCACCCAATCAATAAGACACACAGTCCAGCTACTTTGAACTTCAGACCATGCTTTTATTGTCTCAGTAAGCACTGTGATGCCTGCAGCTTGACCACGCATCTTTCCTTTCTGTAGCCCACTCCTTTCTGTTCACAGTGTGCTAGGTCACTTACATCCAGCCAAGCCCCTCAGGCGTATGCAGCTCCAGCATTCTGTGGTCCAGGAATTGCCCTTGCTCGTCAGATAGGCACTTACAGAAGAAGCCAGTGTGAGTGGATTGTTTGTGTGAAAAGGAATATTCCTTCTGATGACTCTGTGGTGTTTCCTGTACCGCATTCAAATGCTGCTTATCCTAGGAGACCCAGTCAGGATGGAAACGGGCAGTGTGGCTGCATGCTGCCAAGCACTGGGGTAGGGAGGAATCCCTCAGCACAGAAAAGGTTCTTACTGCTCCTTTGGCTAACCTTGTGGGACAGGCAGCATCACCTCCTTGTATTCGAAGATGGTTGCTGCAGCAGGGAATTGCTGCTGTTTAGATCTGTGCATTTATTAGTGTAATGACAGGAAGGTTATAACACTAGTCATCTTTTAAAAAGGCGTGTCACAAAATTTGTGAGCTTACCTGTTGCAAAACAAACCTTGATATGTATAACTGGATATATTTTCCAGACCAAATTTTATCCCTTCCTTGTGTTGAATGTTGTCTTGGTGACTACGTAATGAACCAGAGTGCTCTTCCTTGGTTTAAAAATAAATAAATAAATAAGATTGCCTCAGTGTGCTGCTTGTTTCCTAGCATGTCTGTCATGTATAGCTTCTGGAACATTTGGCTAAAAATGGCTTCAAATTAGATAGTTAATAAAGAAAGATAATTAGGAAGAGATGTTGTGATGTGATTAATGATGACCAGTATTTTAATCTTCTACCACCCACGCCACATGAGTATTGGGCAAGTAACTTCCTTTTTTGCTCCTCTTTTGGGAGCAAAAATTTTTCTCATCCTGCCAATAGAGGGTCTGCTAACTTGATAGTGTCCCTTTACATTTTTCTTTCAGCTTATCCCTGAGCCCAAGTCCATTTGTTGCCCCATTCCTCCTCAAAACCTTCTCAATTTGTGTCCACCAGTAATAGCCAAGAGCACCACCTTTCTTGTCTCGAGTAAGAGAGCACTAATGTTCCACCTCTCCTTCTGGCATTTTGGCAAACTTCGTGGTGCTTGACAGGAGGCAAGTCGTAGCTTTTAAATTTGCTAATTCCCCAGCCATCCTAGGAAGTATCAAAGATCTCCTTGGAAAACAATATACATCAGATAACAACTCAGACATCTAAAGCAGGGAATGCATCTAGAAGTCTAGGGACAAGTAATAATTGGATGTCCTTCATACCTTGGCTACTGCCTTGGCAGCTGACCACACCTAGACAAGTGTCTTTTCAATGGTTAACTGTTCCTGCCAGTCTGTCTACATCTTTTTTTCCACTATCTGCATTTTACTGAAGGGCAAAGTCCATAAGAGTTATACACTGAGCGTACATCCTCATTGTTAAGCTCTGCACTGAAGGCATAAATCTCTCTTGCTGCTCACAACTGTATGATGACCCAAGATTGAGCAGTTTCATACCTTCAGTTAGCACTCCTCTAAAGTGTGGTTATTATTTTAGTCTTTGCCATGGTGTTACCTAAGTAAGAAAGACTTCTCTCCAAAGGAGGGAAGATGGAATCAAATTCTTTGCATATAGGATGGGCTCTTAATGATGGCAACTTTCAGATCCTTTCTTTGTGATCAGTTGGTTTCCTCCAGAACAGTTACTGATTTAGGAGTTTTGCCAAATAGTCTATGGGAAAGACTAGTGCCAAATAGTCTTTGGGAAGTTTTGCTGCCTGCACAGCTGCATAAGGTTTCTGAATGGATGTCATTGATGTCAGCTGTGAAAAGGTAAGCAATGTGAATATCAAAATGTCATTTCCCTTTCTTCATCCTAACTTCACGTTGCTGGGAAGTGTGCATTTTTTTAATGCCATCTTCAACATGTTGTCCATCAAGATCCTCACATCCTTTTTTTCAGAGCTGGTACCCAACAGGCTGAGTCCTCAGCCTGTCCTGATGCATGGGGTATTCCATCACAGTTTCAAGGCTTTGCCTTTGAATTTCATGAGGCTTTTGTCAACCCATACCCCCAACTTGTTGAGATTACACTGAGAGGAGAAGAGATTGGGGAGGCCTGAGAGCAGACCTTACCCATGAAGTCTGAGGCAAAGAGGAATTTAGTGCTTTAGCCTTTTCCATATCCATTACCACCAGGCTCAGCAGCCAGTCTGCAGTCTGCATTATCCTTACTTTTTTGCTACTGCTGTGTATGTGGAGAACCCTTCTTGTTGCCCTCTTATGTCCAGCATCTCCGTTTCAACTCTGGCTGGCTTCTGTTTTTTCCTAATGCCGTCTCTGCATGCTTGGGCAATGCTTCTTCATTCATCACAGGTGACTTGTGGAGTAATAATAGATGCTTAAGCTGGGACTTGGAAGATAAACCTTAAATGATAAAGGTGATTACCGTCAGTTTCTTGAAACTGGGGCTCTGATTTTAATTTTTCAACCTTCAGGAGAGCTATCCTACACCTTGTCAGCCAGAAAAGATCTTGGAAATCTAATCATTCAGTGGAGTCTGCCTGTGGCTCTGGAGAGCCTCTGTTCAGTCTTAAGGCAGTGCTTAGGAGTAGCAAGTCCTGTTTTCCACTGAGACTTCTACTGAGGATGTGTAGCAAGTTCTGTGTCTTCTATAGTGCTGTTGTATATAATATTCCAGTCTTTGAGCTGACAGTATCTCAAAACTTTTATCATGTTTTAAAAGCGCATGATTTGAGAACTAAATAGTGGATATAGTATCAAGTATAGTAGTGTCAAAAATTAGATAATTCATTTTTGAGACATAATAACCTTGAGTGATAGGAGAATTTCAGTAATAATCAAGAAAAAAGAAGAATCTTGCACTGATTGCAGAGTAGCTGAGTCACTAATTTTTGGCAGCCATGCAGGTATCTTCATTCTTAGGATTCTTTCAAAAAGGTAGATCCATCAGAAACAGGGGAACTCATTTCATGATGCAGTAAGTCTCCAGGCAGACAGTACCTGCGGAACAGTATTCGGATTCTAAGACATTTTACCACAAGAATAGTGGAAGAATCAACATCTGAGTATAGGCAGTTGGAAAAGTTGGCTTCTTATGCTTAGGATATGTATCCAGAGATGAAGTATGACTGTTATTTGTGAACCTCAGTGTTTCAGTCTGGGAAAATGCCAGACAAGAAAGATCTACAGAGCTAGAAGATCACCACTGGCCCAAAAATGAATGCTTAGAGTGGCCAGCTGCAAAGCGGAAGAGGAATCCTAATTAGAGCAATGAGATGCTGATATAACTTCCCTGTCGACACAGCGTATACTTTGAGTTAGGGGTGAAAAACAATTGGAAAAGAGCCATCTGATAGAGTTACGGGGATAGGCTTAGCACTGTTAACAGCACCTCTCAAGCTCTTTTTGTTCTGGTTAGCAATCATCCAAGAGCTTTCCCAGTCTTTCTGAAGTGTATACTTTTTTCCTCCTCCTCATGCTGATCTTTCTCTTATACTCATCAGTGCTTTCTCTCTATCCTTTCTTTAACCTAGACTGGGTTTTACAGATGTTAATATGTGATGCTTGCTTTTTCCAGCACATGCAACTGTCATCACCTAACTGATATTTCCACGCTGGCAGCAGCACACACTATTTAAATGTGTATCTTCAGTACAGTCAAATACCACCATTCCTGAGGAGGGAACATGGAGAGGGAGATGCTGATCTCTTCTCCCTGGGATCCAGTGATAGGATGTGTGAGAATGGTTCAAAACTGTGCCAGGGGAGGTTTAGACTGGACACTAGGAAGCATTTCTGTACCAGGAAGGTGGTCAAAAGCTGGAACAGACTTCCTAGAGAGGTGGTTGATGCCCCGTGCCTATCAGTGTTTAAGAGGCATTTGGACAATGCCCTTAATAACCTGCTTCAACTTGGTCACCTCTGAAGCGGTCAGGCAGTTCGACCAGATGATCGTTGTGGGTCCCTTCCAACTGAAATAGTCTAGTCTGTTCTATTCTAGTCACGCTGGCCACTTTAAAAGATAAGTTACTGTCTATCTGCATCACTGAGCTATGCCGAGCCTTCTAAAGCCTTGTGATTGCATAGAGCCATCCTACCATCGGGGTGGTCTCTTGTCCCATTGGCAAGCTTCTGGAGCTTTGATGAACACATCTTCCAGTAAGGAAATCTTCGTGGGCCCATAAATTGGTTTGCTTTCTTCATGCAAGAAAAGTTGATTGTTGTCGTGATTTGCCAGCTCTTCTTGTAGCTCTTTGGCCAGACATCCTGGCAAAGTGACTTTGTGTTGTACAGACCTTGGCGTCTGACCATTTGAGAGAGCTAAGGGTATTAAATTTCTTTTTACAAGGGCTCTTCTCAGCTACTTTTTTGTTGTACTCTTGAAGTGTCACTCTAATTTAGGGAATGTGATACCTTTTTTTTGAGCACTGCTCTAAGAATTTATGTGCACCCTGCCTTTCTCATTCCTCTGATTTGGGGAATGGTAGCATTTTGAGTTTGTTACAAGGTGTTGTGAATTGAGACTGCACTAGAGAAGGTAATCTGTCATTGCTCTGGTTTCTTTTAAAATTTTCTCTGTACTACTCAAGTGTCTTGTCTCTGAGGCTTTGAGCTTTGGTGACCTGTATTTTTTCTTTTTTATTTATGAATAGGTTATTAAGAAGAAAGTTTGTTCTTTTGACTCCTAGGTTCCAAAAGAGAAAGATGAAATGGTGGAGCAAGAATTTAATCGTCTGCTGGAAGCCACCTCCTATCTCAGTCATCAGCTGGATTTTAATGTTCTCAATAATAAGCCTGTCTCCCTAGGTCAGGCTCTGGAGGTTGTCATACAGTAAGTGACTTCTGTCTTCGTGGTAGACTTTCCTATTTCGTGGAGGATTTTCCAAAAGATACCTGAAACAATTGTGATGCTCCTAGGGTAAGCATTACCCACTTAATACAGCTGTTTGGTCTCTCTGAGTTCTCGTTTGTGTATGTGATTCGTGTTTATTGAAGCAAAATGTGCCAAAGATGGTTAAAGGAGCAAACATCTTTTCTTGAAAGCTTCCTGAAAATCACTACTACAGTAACTGAGAGTGGATAATTGACTTAGTATGAATTGGTGTACATACAGCCCACTTCTGCTACTCGAAAGCTAATAGCATTTGTAATATGCCCTTTAATAATAGTAGGTAACTTCAGACTCAAGTTTTAGCTAGTCAAGTATCCCTTATTTATAGAAACATGTATTAATTTTCTAATTGCCATATGAGTATTTACTGAAATATCCCATGACATGTGCTATGATCGCATTACACTAATAGATTGTGATAATGAGTTTTCTCAATAACGCTAGGATTTTATGCTGAACTGACTCTCACTGTTCACCTTTTCCAGATTGCAGGAGAAGCATGTGAAGGATGAGCAGATTGAACACTGGAAGAAAATTGTGAAAACACAAGAGGAATTGAAAGATCTTCTTAACAAGGTCAGATGATGACATGTAGAACAAGAGGATAGCATTGTGTTCCTCAGAAAGTGGCAAAATGTACAAAAACTTACATGGAAAAATATCAGAAAGTTGCCATTAATGCTGTTCTTAAATGTATCTGTTCATTTAAGACCTGCCTAGAAGCACTGTTATGACAAAGGAGCCTCCATTTTTGAGGATGAGCACATAAGTGATTAGGCAGAAAACTGTAAAACATAAGTATGGGAAAAGAAAGGGAGAGGACAGACATGATGAAGTGTTGTGTCATAGCTTCCTTTGGAGATGTTGATAATGACTGAGGCTTTGGTGGGGTTATTTTAAAATGTTTACTTTCTTCACCACAGATCTGATTGGTAATGTAGAAACAGTGTTATAGGCCTACTTACAATGTTTTGGGTTGTGGTAGATGACATCTTTACTTCTCCATGTAAGTTTCTCAAATTCAAAATGTCTTGAGGACAGCTCTCATATTGTAAATTATTTGCAACTTATTTGGTAAGAAATCAGTGATGTTGGGTTTAAGCCATGTTGTTTTGGGGTTGGTGGTATTTATTGTGGTTTCTTGGAGGTAGAATTGCATATAAGTAACATCTGCCAAAACCAGGAAATCTCTTTGGTATAATGGCATAGTTTGAGGTGAATATCCATTTTACACAGTAACTTGCCTGAAATCTATCTTCCTTCTTCTTTTTTTTTTCTCCTTTCTTCCTCCCTTTTCCTACTCCACCTGAAAAAGATGGTGAATTTAAAAGAGAAGATTAAAGAACTTCATCAACAGTATAAGGAAGCATCAGAAGTGAAGCCACCTCGGGATATTACAGCAGAGTTCCTTGTGAAAAGCAAACACAGAGATCTGACTGCGCTTTGCAAGGTAAAGGATGACATACGTACAGCACTTAAGTCAGTGGTTTCTGAGGACTTCAGCAGCCAGATAAAATTAGCTGATATAAATGTTCCCACATCTCTCGCTCTAATCCAGTGCTCTCAAGAGAATGTGATGGATGGTAACTCTGGGCTGTCATACTGATAACAGGGCTGCATTAAGTACCTTTAGGTACCCATCTTTCATGGCTCATGATGGAGAGTATTAAGATGTTGAAGGCTCAGTTTTAGGTAACAGTCTGTGCTGGCTCTGTCAGACAGCATTTAATGTTTTGAAGGCTAAATTTTAGGTCAAACTTGGGTCATTAGTACTGCTGGGTCTCACAGTAGTCTGGAAATAAAATTTGTATTTGAAGAGAGATGCTCTTTCTCTAAGATAAAAAAGGTGGTTTCCTGAGGAAAAGACTTCTTTCTATCCAAAGATTATCATTTACAGAGCTCTATCTTGACAAGCAGAATTAGTCCCCCTTCTGTGTGTATCATGATGTAGAAATATGCCTTAAAAAGGAAACCTTATAAACTATTCTTTCTATGGCAATGGAAGACACCTTGCTAACCCAGGTCAGATAGAAGCAAGGATCATTTTTCAGCTACTTCTTCAACAGAAGATACGTACCTTTATTTCAAAGCCCGATGTGTTTGTGTATCCATAAGTAGCAGATCTTCTGTTTTGTCACCAATGAACAGCTTTGTGCTCTTGTCACTGTTATTGGACACTCCAAATTATTCTGCCTTGAAGGAAAATGATTGTTGCCTTTATACCTAGTTCTACTAATGTCTTTTAAAATGAGAAAGAAAAAAACCTCTGAAAGAAGCTTGAATTAGGTCATGTCTTTGCATTTTGCATGATTGCTTCTGCTTTGCAAAACTGTGTTTGATATTAACTATAATATTTTAAGAGAGAAAGAAGAATAGAAATAACATTTTGTGCAATATGAAAAAGCTCTCAGTACCATAGGGACCCTTTAAAATACCAGGACTGTAACGGACCTTCATGTTCTCCAGATCTGAGTGTTTAAATTCCTGAAATATTAGCATACTCATCTGTTCTGCAGTGTGGCGTAGACTTCTGTATATTCGAACAGCAGAAGGACAAAATGTGGTGGATTAAATGTTTAAAAAATAAAGAACTTGATTTAGATTGCACTAAAACCATGAATCTTCCACTGACTTCTCTTGAGATTAGGTCCAGTCTGATGCTACTTGATGTCTTTAAGTCCTTTTACATGTAAGCTGATTTTAATGTTAGCTTTTAATCTTATTAGGAGTATGATGAATTGGCAGAAACACAAGGAAAGCTGGAAGAGAAGTTACAAGAACTTGAAGCCAATCCACCGAGGTAAAGATGCAAACTATAAAAATAAATGCTCAGGAAAGCAGGTTTTTTGCTGCTTTTCACTGAGTTTCAAAAATGCTATGGTAAGCTTTCTTTTAATTATGGTAACTCAAGGGGTTAGGAACGTACAAACACAAAGTTTGAGCTCGCTCGGTTTTAGAACTTATCTTCCTCATTTTTAGAGGTGACTTGGACAGAAAAGGTGGCTCTTAGCTGGGGTGCATTACAGTATAAATTCTTACTGTAACCAGTACCTGAGCTCAGGAAGCCTCTGAGATTTGAAATCCCCATCAATAATGATAGCATACTAATCCTGCTTGTTTTTGCAGAATATTGTTTTGTGCTCTGTGTGATTATGCTAGGTTTTTAGGCGTCTTATTTACACATGCTACTTCAGCCATTATTTATGTAACTTTTTTTTTTATTTCTGAAGTGATGTTTCTAGCTTCACTTGGAATATTTTACATGAACTCTACTTTGAAAATGTGAATTTGCCAGGTTTTGATATTCAGCTTTCATGAAGGAGGTCCGAATGTTTGAAACAGAATCTGCTTGTGTTCTTTTTTAATTTTTTTATTTCTCCACTAAGGAGGGACTCAAACAAAAAAGACTGTGAATAAATTTTCAAAAGTAATGCATTTGCAACATCCTACTCTAGCAAACTAAATGTCTTTTGTGTTATGGTTTTTTTTTTTTTTTCCTAGTGATGTTTATCTATCATCGAGAGACAGGCAAATACTTGACTGGCATTTTGCAAACCTAGAATTTGCTAATGCTACACCCCTATCAACGCTTTCATTGAAGCACTGGGACCAGGTAGCTAATTAATGTATTCATTCAGCAATACACTAGAAATTTAAGCTATATTTATTTCATTGTCATGGAAGCTTCTCTATGTTAACAGTTTCTAAACCCTTAAGTGCTATCTGCTTTTATGCGATACTGAGCTCTTACATGATGATTATTTGCTGATGAAATTCCAGACAGCTTTTTGTTAGTTCCAAAGCAATCTCTAATAATACTGTCTACTGAAAGTTCCTGTACTTACTACTTGACTAATAAACAGAAAGGGTTTCAAATTTATTTGACTTACTCTTTGAAAAAAAGTTTTTTGAAAACAATGTTGTCGTTGTGTAAAGTTGCTGATTATTTTCTATCAAATTATATGATTTCATTATAAATGCATGCTTGTTATGCATCTTCATTTTAGGATGATGACTTTGAGTTCACAGGCAGTCACTTGACTGTGAGGAATGGATATTCCTGTGTGCCGGTAGCCTTGGCAGAAGGGTTGGATATTAAATTAAACACAGCAGTTCGACAGGTTCGCTATACAGCATCAGGTAAATGAAACCACCTCCTCCAGAAAACTGCTCTGAGGGAGTACGATCATAGTAATAAGATTTCTGTGCTTCTGGAAGCAGATGTGAAGACTGATCTCATAAAAACCTTCCCATTATATGTTTTGGGTTAGATAAACAGCCACATTTCTTATTGTGATTAATTGTGAAGGAAGCTGTTAGAGATTTATTAATCTTTAATGTTTTTTGCTTATTTCTGTGGCTGGTTTGACGCCATCCCTTTCAGTTGTATTTCCTGGTGCACAAGTTCACGTTCATTCTCCCACTTCTTTACTTCATTGATCGAAGCGTTTGGAGTAAGAGGTCTTGGGCTGCTTAAGACTTGGTGCCACAGGACCTGGTATTAGAAGTATAAATGAATGTAATATGGACTCAAACAAATGGAAGGAATGTATCTTTTTGTTGGTCGTCAAAACATTGGGCTCAGGAAACTGTCAACTGGGAGAGCAACTCAATGAGAGGCTCACTCTCTACTTGCTATTTATTTATGCATATATTTAAATATCATTTCCTGGCCTAGATGAACCTTTAGGCTTATCCCAGTGTGGCCATTTTCAGATGCTGTGTAAATTACACTTTCTGGAATTGAGCTATGTGACCAGTAATGTTCACTTGCCTACAAGTTAAGTAATTGTTAGTGTAAAGCTGTCTCCATAAGCAAAATGTCTTCTGCTGTGGGTATGTTTTTAATTTTTAATCCACTTCTCTTGCCTCCTGGCCTACTAAATGATTGTTTTTCTCTCTCCTTTCCAGGCTGTGAAGTGATAGCTGTAAATACCCGATCTACTAGCCAGACTTTCATTTACAAATGCGATGCTGTGCTGTGTACTCTTCCCTTGGGAGTATTGAAGCAGCAGCCGCCAGCAGTACAGTTTGTGCCGCCTCTTCCCGAGTGGAAAACTTCCGCAGTGCAGCGTATGGGCTTTGGCAACCTTAACAAGGTGACTTGGTCATTGAGGGAACTGCAGCAGACCAGGGGTTGCGATACGTGGAATCTGAAATGTGTGTGGAATATGTATGGTGGATGAGAGGAAGAATGGTTTTTCCACTGCTGTTTTGCTAGATTTTGATGCTGAAAATTATCTGAAGGACTCTAAGGACCTCTCCTCGATTTCCCCACACAATTTTTAAATAGTTAAATTTCAGGAGTAGGTTGACTCAATATGTCTGCTGTAGCTTGTTAACCAGCAAGTTTGTAAACTATGAGAGCATACTAACCTATGGAAGGCAGTATAGGTATACACCTTTATGTATTATGTATACGCAGTATGTATTCACCAGATTTTCCTTTCTTGACCTTTCCAGTGATAAACATCAATGAGTGTAATTATTTTTATTTTTATTTTTATTTTTGTTTTTTCTGTGTGCTCTTCCTAACTCTTGATTCTTTTTTTTTCTAGGTTGTGTTATGTTTTGATCGTGTGTTCTGGGATCCAAGTGTCAATTTGTTTGGTCATGTTGGTAGCACTACTGCAAGCAGAGGAGAACTCTTTCTGTTTTGGAACCTGTACAAAGGTAACTGTGGTGCATGTCTGCTTCTGCCAGTGTCTTATTTGTGTAGTTTCAGATCTAGAAAAGAGCACTTTTAAAGATGCTGTTACTGTTCACATGTGCACATGATAAGAAGATAGTATTTGTAGGAAGACAAATGGAAGCAGAGAGCACCACTGACTTGCAAACAATTCTGTAGTAAATTAGGGCAGGACATGGATGAGTATGAGTTTTACTAATGCTGAATTCCAGGCTATGTCTGTTAAATTGCGTTGCTACCGATCTACTGTAACACTTGCATTTTTATAGGCTGCTTTATTGTCTCACACCTTGGTGAAGTTGTCCTGTGTTGTCTTAGTTAAGTATCGACTTTGTCAGGAGAATGTAGTGAGTTCTCCAAGACAAGGGTGATTTGTCTCTGTAGCATTCCTGAATTAAAACCTTTTTCTTGATTCATAAGTGTCTTTGAAATAGAGTTTCTCTCTGGCCTCTTGGAACGTTGTTTGAGCCCTTCCCCTCTTTCACTAAGCTGCTCATGCAAAGGGGACTGGCATCCAGTTTAGTCTCAGTTTTGAAAACCTCAGCTTACTGGATGTTTTTCAAGTTGAACTGGCAGTTTGAAGCCAGACCTCTTTCATGGGGCTGTCTGTCTAATCTGGGATGATTTGATAACTGTAGATGAGCCTCTTTCATCTATGACCTCAAGTCCTTTCTTGTGCAGGTGACTTTGCTGCCCAGGAAAGTGTCTAGGAACTAACCAAGATAAATTACATTTTTTTCTCAGATGTAAGGGGTGCTGTTGACTTGTGTATTCTCTTATGCAGCTGAGCTGCAGAACTCAGTGCTCGGAGGTTATCCTGTTCAGTTTCTCGGGGGGTGCAGCGCAGCCTTTACAGAGTATTGAACACTCAGATTTCAGTGGAGCAGATTAGAGGCTGTGTGATAGCTCCGTTCCTCTTGCTGAGCATTACCATTCCAGCTTGATGAGCTGCAGGCCCATCCATATGGTTAAGATGCAGTGTGCCCTGGAGGAAAGGCAAGCTGTGGCGTCTCAGTTTGTTGAATGGATGACCTTGTTTCCTGTTTTGAGCAGCAAAGCGGCTGTGACTGTAGACTGTGGGTCTCAGACTGACAGATAATTTTAGAAGTCCTCTTTAGAAAATGCTTAAGTAGGGAAAAGGTATTGCTCTGCCTGTTTCTACAGCTGGACTTTGCCATTAGTAGTTTTGTTTTACCTGCAGCTGGTGTCTGCCACAAGAGGTTGTCGAAAGATATTTTCAGTAAGCGTAGTGTTTTTGTTCATTGCCGTTTACCATACTAAAAGCAAAAGTGTATATACAGTGAGCACTATTAAATGAGTTACTGTTCTTGCAGATGACTGTTCAAAGTACCAGTGGGTTTTCTTCCACTCTATCATGGGCAGGCCAGGTTTTTCTTTTAACTGGAGAAAACTGCTGCGCAAAGAAGGTGCCGTTCTAGGGTATTAATTGTTAAAATGTTTGATAAGACTTGACTGGAGAAATACAAGTAATGAACCTTGGATAACAAGGCTGTTCATGTGTCTGCTTTTGTGGCTTTAAGATGGCTCTGTTACACACTTAACAAGTAGTGTTGAGGTTTTGGTTTACATGGAAAGACCGTCTCACATACAAAGATTTTGCTGCTAGATGCAAAACTTTCCTCCCCATGAAAATAGGCAGAGCACGCAGAAATAAAATAGAAATGCAATAAAATCCTGTGCTAAAGCACAAGTCAGGTGGCTGAAATTGAAAAAATCAATTACCGTTTCTCGTGGATAGTTAGGTGGCAGTTAATGTGATTACACTGTGAAATATTAAAGTAGACCTGACTGAACTTGTGAAGCTGTTATTTATTTCTTTCACATTCTGTATTTCTGTTGCCATAGCATTTTGGGCAGAGACTATTTAAACTGAACAGATTGGAGAACAATTATTAATCCAGAAACAAAAAAACTGGAAGTATCACAGCACATGCTGTGTTAGCTCTGTGGAAGTTCTTTAAAGGTCTCGTGTTGGCAGAGATCAAGTGGTCTCTGAGAAGTGTTTAAAGGTAGTGGGTGAATGGAGTGAAAGGCAGATGAAGAGACTGCACGTTTGTACTGCTGTGGGGTGACCTGTTGTAGCTCAGACAGGAATCTTCCCCGTGGTTTAAGTCTAGTTCAGGTAAACGGGTAGCCTCAGGAGCGCTATGCGTGTCCTGGAGCAGCTGGCCTGTGCTGTGGGTGCCTCTTGCTCTGTCGTGCTGTTGGGTTGGTGTCGTAGCCATGCAGACACGCTTTAAGATGGAGAGACTCCATCAGCACAGGGCAGAGGAACTCCTGGCAGAAATGCTCAGTGTTTTCTGGAAGTCCAGTGACATTTCAGGCTCTGTTTTCTTGCCTGGCTCTTCTGTTTTTCCTAGACACATGTGATGAAAAAGATGAGACCCTTTCTCCGTCATAGTTTTGTGGTTACTCGCTGTTCTCTGGCTAAGCCACGTTCTCGGCTTGCTGTTTGGTATCAAGGCTCAGTAAAGATCACTGCCTCAAGGAGAGGATTTTTTGTGGAGCTGTGACACATGTTCATCATGCAAGAAGCTTTTCTGAGCAGCGCTTTGGTATTTGCGTAGCAAAATAGTCACTGTTGTGGTACAGCCTTGTGGCTCTCTGTTACAGCTCTGAATTAATCCAGGTGACTGTATAGCAACATTTTTGGGTCTGTAAATGCTTACAAAACAGGGTCTCACACTTGGAAAGGCAGGATTTCCATAAAAATATTTTGGGGTTGTCTGAATACAAGTTTTCATGAACAAATTCACTGGAAGCTGCATTTTGAATACGTAGTTGTTCCATCAAGAAAAAATATGTTGACCGAATAACAGCTGAAAACTTCAGGGATTTCATTGTGTCAAGGATGGCAAACTAGGAAAAACTTCGCTGCTGAAATTACAAGAAAAAATTCCCAATGCCTATGGATGATAGGAAACCAGTTTTTTGTTCAATTGTTTGGAAGACTAGGCTTAATCTTTCAGAAACTGGAGTTTAACTAGAGGAGCAATCCTGTATCTTTTTTCTCTAATAAACTGCTTCTAGTCCCAGAGGTCCTGCATATTGAAGTGTCTTAGTAGTATCTTGAGTAGTGTAATCTTTGTAGTAATAACAGCCTTACTAGTCTAGCTTCTTCAGAATTCCAAAGACACTTGTTTTTAACTAGAATATATTATTGGGTCTTCCAGCCTGTGTATCACAGCTGAACTTCAGCCAGTTTTCTTTAAAGAGCAGTAACTTGATGGGAATGTGTACCAGGAGATCTCTGTATATACCAGAAGATAAGGAATTCACTAATCATATTGGAAACCTGCACAAAAGTTAAAGCCAAATTTTTAACAAGGACTTTATTTCCCATTTCAATATGCATGACATCTGTTTCTAGCTGTAGTTTTTCCTTTGCTAAATTTAGGAGTTCATAAATATCTCCAGGAGGAGAAAGATCAACTGAGAGAGTTTTCACTCAGTAACCGTGCTCGGGCCGGAGTCACTTCTTGTAAATGCATGTTTCTTGCCATTGGGTTATTTTGGTAGCTCTTCAATACTTACCTAAGATTTTCCTTGAATTTGTGACTACCAAAAATATATGCTTAGTCTTACCATAGCTGGGCAGAGGTAAAATGACCTCATCTATTTGTTTGTATATCCTATGATCCCATTAGCACTCTTCACCAGAGCATCACGTGGGCAGCTGGGTTATGTGATATCTGTCCCTTTGACTTCTGAATTCTTCTCAGAATTGCTGCTTTTCTGGATATCGTTCTACTGTTCATAGTTTCCACTCCATTGAGATTATTTAATGTGAATGTGCATTGGTAATGAAGAAATCTAGATACTTGGTATGAGTGAAGTACTTACACAGGTAACTGAACTGCTATGCTGATGTTAATCATACTTCAATTAGATTGTTTGGAAAGTATCGAGTTCCCTTAAATGTAGCACAGATGACTGTTAAATCCCAGCGAAACTCCTGTGTCGAGCAAGTGGTGTCTTCACTAAAGAAAACCTTTCCTCTCTTCTGCATCCTGTACTTCCTGATGGGTGTATTTAATTTTTAATACATCAGCTCTCTTGAGAATTCTAAATAGTACCATAGCATATATTAATTCATTTTCTTTTTGGTAATTTGACATGATGGTGGAAGATTTAGGACTGCTTTTGTTGGGTTTGTTTCGTTTTTAACCTCATGACTTAGCTGCAGATCTACACCTATTCAAGTCCAACTTGTCTGATTAAAATGTTCGGTTTCAATAATTCAATTGTTTTTTTCTCTCTCCTTCCTCAACCCCCTCACCCCGCCCCCAGCACCAATTTTGTTGGCCTTGGTAGCAGGCGAAGCAGCAGGGATCATGGAAAATATCAGTGATGATGTCATTGTCGGACGGTGCCTTGCCATCCTCAAAGGCATCTTTGGTAGCAGCGCTGTGCCGCAGGTTAGTACAGACCAGCCTCTTTGGGCGGCTCCTCTGCAGTTCGGAATGCGCTGCAATTCTCAGTAGCTCGGCTGCAGTATTGAGCTGTTTGGTGTATGTACCGCCTTTTGGTTGTTCAGGGTGTTTGGGGAGGAGGGGTTCTTTGTGGGTCTGGGGTTGGTTTTTTTTGTGGGGTTTGGGTTTGTTGGGGTTTTTTTGTGAAGATTGTCTTAGACCGAGTAAGACTCTAGCTTTTTCAGAGTGTCAAATACTTCAGTTAATTTTCTACCTTTTACATTTCTGGGGTTACAGCAGTAACTAGTCCGTGGCTAGTGACAGCACTGCTTAGGTACTCCCTGCCATGCTCTGCACCTTCTCTAAGTACAGTAAAGCTCTTGACCAATGAACTCCACAAAGAAACTGGTTTGGCTGGAAAATAACTGAAGGGAAGGAAGGGAGTAAAGGCAATCTTCCATCTGGATCAGTTCCCTGTGCAGCTAGCCAACGGTTATTTAGGCACAGTAAGTGTAACAGGAATGGTTAGTGAAGGGGGAGTTTAGAAAATACTTAAATATTACTCAAAAAAAAGAAGCTTGTGTACTTAAGACATCAATTTGGAAAGCCATATAGCTGTTCAACCTACAGTGTGTGTGACTGAGTTGAATACTTGGTCTGTTCTCCTGACAGGCAGTGTGGAAGCTGTTCTTATAAACGGCATTGGTTGGAAAGAAATAGCTCTGGTCCACTGGGACTTCTGTGCAGTAAAGTAATAGAAAAAATATATGTTAACTTTACTATATCAGTCTCCTCTGAGCATTTGGCCAGGTGTAAATTGGACTGTTTACTTGCTTGGTATTTCACATGAGGAATAGATTTAAACCATTGTCTTTATTGTAGAATACTTGTAGAGCTCTTTTTGAACACAGCTTTATCATCCCTAGTATTTTAATGCTTTCTGTATGGCGGACAAATCCTTACAGCTGACTGTAAGCATGGATTTTTAGTTAACGAGTGGATCTCATATTTTGGAAATGCACAATCGGTTGAATTTTACGTCTCAGACTGGAGAACACAAGAGAAGGAAACCCCAGGCTTGCCTTCCTGATAAACCCCCAGCTCCTTCTCTGAACTCTCAGAGGACAATTCTAGTTCCTAATGAGATCTTTCTTTGAGAGGAGCTCTGAGACTTTCCTGTCTGCAGGTGCTGTAGAAACCATGTAGTGTGTAGAAATCACTCTCGAGTGAGCCAAGAGTGAAGTGTTTTACTGCGGCTGCTCTCTAGTAGGGTTTTCAAGTGAAAAAAATACACACTAGCAAATTGCAGAATCTCGAGAACTATGGATTCTACTGTAGATAAACATCAAATTTAGAGAACTTATTTGAACTTTTAAAATATTTTAGTGCATTAACAGATAATCCCCTGTGCATGACTCCATATCTGGTCAGTCATTCAAAGGCGGCAGTTATCGGTTGTGATAAGTGAGATCTCTAAGTGAGTCTCTGTTTTAATGTATTCACAGTTCGGGTGCTTATGTACTACGAGCACTTGATAGCAGAGAGGTTTGCTGGAGGCTGTCTTCTGGACAGCCATTCATCAGTCGGCATAAACTGCACTCTCATCCATTGTGTTGGATGAACAACGGTGTCTGTTGCTGTGCGAGTGCAGTTCCTTGTGTCTGCCCAAAACAGGGGAGCGGAAAAGTTAAACAAAAGCAACAGTTCATTCATTGCAATGTGAGCCATCCTCCTCGTTCCTGTGCTACTTCTTATTACTGTCTTATTTTTTCTTTCTGATTTGGTTTTCATTTCCCAAAGGCAGATATAACCACTTTTTCACCCTGCTGTTCTTCAGCACATGGAAATTTTTTTCAACTGTGCTGAGCAGCTAACCTCTGCAAGCTTCACGTCCTCTCTAGAACAGGGTTCCAGTTTTGTATCGCTTCTGTTGTAGTACATGTTTTATCCTCTAACCATCCTTCTCTTTGTTCACAGGGAATCCTAATTACAGCGTTTGCTTGTCAGGATGAAAATAAAAGTTGACTCATACCCACACACGGGTGTGTGGGCACATGCACACCACAGTTACTGTTTGGACTGGTGCAGTCTCAGTACTGGGGAACCGGTACTTTCGTGTTCTGCTCTACAATTATGTCTGGGTTAGCCATACCTTCAAAACTACCTCAGTGAAGTAAAATTTCTATCTGGCTTTATTCCCTGTTAGACTGCAATGCTTCATTTGAGAGAATTAAGAAATTTATGAAATGCCTCAAAGTTTTCTTTGTCAGATATACGTGTGATCACATACAGTGCCATCACAGTGGTCTCCATCCAACAAGAACGGAAATGTGAGGTTACTTTTTTCTCAAAAGCAGGCAATATGTGAGGGCTGGCTCATCACTCCGTTCCGTAGCTTTTGGATAAAAAAGTGCTGAAAATTGTGGTGAGGAATTTTCTCAATTAAGTCATCAGACCATACTGGGAGATGTGGTCTCCAACCCCCAGTGGTGTCTTACACCTTGGAACATGGCCCCAGTCCTCTGTGGCCTTGCCACAGACTCAGCAGAAGGCATCAAATATAGTCCAGCTGAGGCCAGCCTCGGAGAGATCATCTCAGATCTGTCAGCGTTGGGGTCCAGGAGACTTCCCTTGCCATGAGGTGGTACGGTGCCTGCTGGACTGGCTTCTGGATAACGCCCTTGCTAGATAGAGCCTATTTCTCTTCCTTTGTGGGAAGATGTGTTCAAGTAGAAACAATTCCATGAAATATCTTTGTGCCTGAGGAGAGGAGATGAGGTTCCTGCCTTGATGTTTGCATTTTTACAGGGTGTGATTCCTGTTAAAACTCAGTAACACATTTGAACAGAGTCCGGGCTATTTTAAGATTCACATCCATCAGTGTTATGTCCGCAAGGTTATGAAGATGTCCCATTTTCTCTTGACTGCTGTTACGCCTTAGAGTGATACTGGTTTGAGTTCTGGTGATGCTCTCACTGTTGCATCTTTCAGTGGAATATCTTTCATCATGACTATTACCTTGGCAAACCAGATGGATTGGAGAAATGTAGGTGTTTGTGTAGGTGCCCTTCATGCAGTCGTTTTCTCAGATGAATTACAGACCTTATATAGGCCTATATCATAGCCAGATCAGAAGACATACTCAGATGAGCTGTGGCTGAAAGAAAGTAAAGGAGTAGGAAGCGTGCATTGTCATTATGTTGATAATAGGAGAAGAAACAGAGCGAACAGTACACAGTGTGCACATAGAGCTGACTACAAAGTCTGAGTTCCAGTGCAGAAGCTATGTGCGGTAGGTTGTCGCAACAGCGGAAAGAATTAAGGTATTGCTGCCAAAGACAAATTATTTACCTTAGTATGTGTTATCCTGGAGTATAAACTTGGAGTTCCACCATTAACATTACTCCAAGGACTTTGTGTCTTTTATTCTTGCAATTTGCATCTTTTGTATTTTGCACTAACTGTAGAACTTGCACTGTGTCAACAGCTGAAGTTTCTGTCTTGTCTCACTCAGCCTAAAGAGACTGTGGTGTCCCGCTGGCGGGCTGACCCGTGGGCCCGGGGATCGTACTCCTATGTAGCAGCTGGATCTTCTGGAAATGACTATGATTTGATGGCTCAGCCAATTACTCCAGGGCCAGCCATTCCAGGTGCTCCTCAGGTGAGAGATGTCTCCATGCTTTTTAGAAAAACCTCAAAACAGGATGATTTTTCTAAGTAATTTGCCTACATATCTAAACACAAGTTTAGATAACTTGTGTCTTCTGATGAATTATTAGAATCTGTAAAATAATTCAGATTTCTATCCGTGAATTCTGCCTTCCCAGGTTTGGTGTCATTTGTTTGCTATGAATTCTGCCTTCCCAGGTTTGGTGTCATTTGTTTACTAGAAAACGAGCGGTTTCATTCAGAAAGTCAATTTGGTAATATCTGAAGAGAGTATTATAATATTATACGTTTATTGTGTTTCATACGCCATATTTATGTTGTCCATCACCATATTTAAGTGAGTTGTAGCGATTTGAAAGAGGGTGAAGGCCAGAGGGAGAGGAATCAAAAGGTCTCTCCCAAATTGGGAGCGAACACAATGAAGGCGTAAGTCATCTCCAGTGCACTTTGAGAGGATGAAGTTCTTTTTCTAGTGATACAAGTCATTAATAAACATAGCTATGGATAAAATGATTCTCCGCCGAGTATAATATATGAAAGTCTGTTTTTCTCCTACTTTTTATTACACTGTCAGTAGTTGGTTTAGGTCTCAGTTTAAAGAGAAACTGCTAATTTAAGTGAATTGCTGAAGTTTTTGTTTGCTTACTGTGCTAGAGTTCATGTCCCCGGATCAGAAACCATCATTATTCTTCAACACGTTTAACAGTTTGGCTGCAGAATTATAGATACAACATTCAAACGCTTTTTCACTATACAGCTGGGGACATTAATCTCCTCTGCTTATCTGGTTCTGAAAGTATTGCTTTTCAAGTAGAGCTTTATTATCTTTGTATCAGAGCAAAGGTATCAGCAAATAATTGCAAAATATTTCCTCGTGTTACAGTCATTACAAACATGAAACCCTCCTGTGAAATGAAAGGTGTATATAAAGATTTTCTTGGTAATTTGTAGGACAGGTTAAAATATTTTTAATGTAGACTATTTTATATGCACCACCTTCATGTTAATGGAGACTGTGGTGTGATTAGAGGACTTCTGACATTATTCGTAAAGTATCTGTTTGCTGCAGAATCTGAAAGAACGTGAACAAGCCGTAACAGTGTTCTCTGTTCCTCCCAGCCTATTCCTCGCCTGTTTTTTGCGGGAGAACATACAATTCGCAACTACCCTGCGACTGTTCATGGTGCTTTGCTGAGTGGACTGAGAGAAGCCGGTCGCATTGCAGACCAGTTTCTTGGGGCCATGTATACTTTGCCTCGCCAGCCTACGCCTGGGGTCCCCCCGCAACAAGCTACCAGCATGTAAGAAAAGTAGAAGGTGTCAGAAGAGGAGCAACAAGACCACAGTGCTGCTGTTGTCCACTCTTTGGGATGAAGATGTTCACGTAGTCTGTAACAGTATCTGCCGAAGGGACTCCACCATGAGTTACTGTGTAATACTTCCATTAGAATGGCCTTACAAAAACTTACCTAACCTTTGACTTGGCATCCTTTTAAAAATCTCTTACACAGCTGTTTGAAGTGTCAGTGTACACAGAATCCTTTACTACCAAGCTGGTCTGGGACTTTTTTGACTCTGCAGATACTTTTTGAAAGTCAAGCTTATAGCTGGAGGTTTTTTAGGGTTTTTTTTTCTACCTATATGTGTATTTACAATTTGGTAATTTCACAAGACCCTCTAGAAGCTGGTTGCTACGGATAGTAGCTTAGTGTAGAATTTATGTAAACTTCTTTGTTGGGTTTTTTTATTGTTTTGTTTTGAAGAATAATATTTTTTGACCAATTCTATTCTTATCTGGCATATGACAATTTGGTGCAACTGTTTCCCTACTAGTAGCAGCAAATCACACCCCTCCAAAATGGTCCATTGGCTGCTACACCATATGCACCCTGTTTCAGAAAGAAAGCTGGTATTACTAAGAGTGTGCTAAGCATACTGTTTTATTAAATACTTTCAACAAGAGAAATAATAAGAACTGGATATTTGTAAGTTAAAAACTAGAAATATTATTCATATTTGTTTATGTAGAGACAGAGTTGCCTAGACAGTAGGTTAGCTGAAGGACCTCCTCTCTTCTGCGTGCTGCAGGTAGGCGCTCTGTGTACCTGTTGATTCCGTTCCGGCTGGGTTGACGAGATGATGTGGCAGGGGGCCCT